GTTCTACTCCTTTAAGATCTGGTGGTGGGCTTTCTAGAGAAATAGGGATCATAGATGAAGAATAAGGGTAGAAGAGCAAGTAGATAGCTTGCTGTCTTCCAAAGAATGAGCAAGAAGCCAAAAACTAGAATTCACTAAACCAACTAGAATCTCTTGCAGCAACTAGAAATTCACTAAACCAAACTTCAATTCTTCCAGTCAACTCTTGTTGAACTCCAATTACACTCTATTATAGACCCAATGTATTAACCTGGATGAGCTACAGATTCCAATTTGTACTAGGAAACGGAAAGTGACAGTGCTGCCTTCACCCGGTTTGGGGGGGGAGGGGTAGGAGTTTGGAGGAGGGCTACCCATAAAGACACTCCAATGTGGACTCTAATTACTAATACAAACTCTAATAACCCATTACTGATACAAAATATTTTTATATTTTTTATTTTTTTTTAATTTGTTTGGCATTTTTTGTAATTTAGTGTCTTGCTTTAAAAAGGCACGCGCCTCGCCTTGCGCCTCGGGTGCAAATTGCCCCTTGTGCTTATAGTGTCAATCATTGCTTCCTTCAATTGGCTCTTTGATGTAGAACCATGTACTTGGTTAGATCAGTTTGAGCCTCATTGGAAGACCAAAAAGAAGCTAACAGATCTGAAGAGAAGGAAGAAATAGTCTGATAAAGACTTTTGACCTCATTCCCCATGCTACTTGTCATAAGTGGATTTCATTTGTTGCTGGGCCTTGGAGAGGTGCTTCTGGAGTTGGGTATACTATCCCGGTTGGTATGCTGATAATCCACTTCAGCCACTGCTGCACCCTTCTCTTGAGTATGCAAGAGGTTGCCCTTGTTGCATGAGTACTGCACCAATGCCCCAGCTTGAAGCATTGGTTTCATCCACAAATTGCTTGTTTGAGGGCCTGAAAGGCCTTCTCAGCCTGTTTTTTCCATACAAAGGACTCTTTCTTAAGCAACTGAGTCAAGGTTGCAACCATCTTCCCATAAACTCTAATAAACTGGTGGTACCCGGTTAGGCCCAAGAAACCCCTCAAGGTCTTCTGGTGGTGGGCCGGACCCAATTCAGCATGCATTTTACCTTCTCTGGGTCGGTCTGAACCTTGCCACCAGAAATGATATGACCCAGGTAGTGCACCTGAGTTTGCCCAAATGAGCACTTAGATAGCTTGGCAAACAAATGATGCCTTATATATATATATATATATATATATATATCTTTTGAAGTGCTACACAATGGGGGTAGCCCATCCCCCAACCCAGGTGTAGGCGGGATTCAATCCCAAGTCTCTGCTACGACCAGCAGGAGACCTCACCAACCAGCTGGTTGGCACCTTGCGATAAACAGATGATGTCTTCGCAAGGTTTCTAGTGTATCCCTTAAATGTTGCATATGAGAGGTCCAAGAAGGGCTATAAAGTAAAATGTCATCATAGAACACAAGAATAAATTGTCATAGCAAGGGTCAGAGCATATCATTCATCAATCTTTGGAAAGTGGATGGTGCATTAGTAAGCCCAAAGGGCATAACCACGAATTCATAATGTTCCATCAGCCGCCTGGAAAGCTGTTTTATGGATGTCTCTTGGATGGACCCGGATTTGATGCTATCCGGACCTCAATTCTAGTTTGGAAAAGTAAATGGCTTGATCCGATTCATCAAACAACTCCTCAATGAGTGGGGTGGGGAACCTGTCCTTGAAAGTGGTTTGGATTAGTGCCTTGTAGTTGAAACAAAACCTCCACATCCCATCTTTTTTTTTTTGACTAGTAGGAGATGAGAAGGGACTGTTGCTGGGCTGAATTAATCCTACACTTAAGAGTTCTTGGACCATTATCTTGATCTCCCCCCTTTGGTAGTTGGGGTACTGGTAGGGCTTTACATTAACTAGTGGGACCTCTGGTTGCAGCTCTATTCGATGGTCATGGGTACAAGAGCTGATTCAACTTGGCTTGGTGATCTGTGGTTTCCAGCATCCCTGGGCGGCTGAGCCCAAAAATAAATTGGGCCCAATTGTCATAGACCCCAGGTGCATAAAAGGTTGGGTTACCCATGTAATTGCAGTGTTTCATGAGTTATTCAGGTATTCCCCCTTTTGCTCCCTACTGTTTGGTCCCACTGAGCCAAATCTTACGGCCTTCTATATTAAAGTCCATAGTCATGGCTGTCTTGTCACACAGAACCGGGCCTAATTTCTGTAACCACTGTATGCCGAACATTATGTTGGCCCCGGCGAAATCTAAGGGATGCAAGTCCACCAAGAAGGAATTCCCTTGAAGCTTGAGGGTCAGGGACTTGCAAACACCATTACATTGGATCTGGTTCCCATTAGCTATGTGGATGAGGAAGGATTATATGGGCTAGATGTCCAGACCCAATTGCCGAGTTATCATTGTCGTGACAAAATTTAGAGAACTGCCGCTATCAATCAAAACCGACACCCACCAGCCCATCAGCTGGCTCATAACCCTCGTAGTCTGTGGGGGGTCCATCTCAACTAAGGCCTGTAGGGATATGGCATAATAATTAGCCCTTTTGTTGTCAATTTGTTGGTCTTTCTCCTCAGTCCCCACATGTTCACTGGGTTCTTCAGTCTCTTCATCTAACTGAAGCAAGTAGAATTGCTGGGCCTTACAACGATGGCCCGGAACAAATTGCTCATCATAGTTATAGCAAAGCCCTTTATCTTTGTGGCCTTGCATTTCCTTCCAGGTGAGCTGTTTGTATGGTATAACAAGGGGTCCAGGTCCAGGAGTGTTAATGCGGCTGGGCTTAGGTCTAGTGGGTGGTGTCTTAAGAATAAGACCCATGGGCTTGGGAATCTTCTTTAAACAGTTTAATCTTTCTTCCTGTATCTTGGCAAGGTCAATAGCTGATAGTATGGATGTTGGTTGCATGGCCTTGACCTCAACCCGGATATCATCCTTTAGACCTTCGACAAAACACTGAACTGGGGCCTTCTCTAGCCATCCATGAACTCAGTTGGTCAATCTCTCAAATTCAACCTAGTATTCTCTAATCGTACCTCAGCTTGTCTAGTGATCTGTCAAAGTCTTGGTAGCCAAAAGGGCCAAATCGAATGAAGTGGGCTTCTACGAAGGTGAGCCAGGACAATTGAGGATGTGATTTGTGGTACCATGGGTACCAAAGACTGGCTTCACTACCCAAATGCATCAAAGCCATTAGTACCCATTGGGCTACAGGTATTTCATGGAATTTGAAATAGCATTCTATTGGATAAAGCCATGGTGTAGGATCCTCACTTGAGAAGACCTTAAACTCCAATTTGGTCATTCTTACTGGCCAACAACTCGTCTTGTGATGCTGCTGTTGTTGGATGCTTTTCGCTCGCCATTCTTACTCTGAAGCTGTTATTCTCTTGAATTTGGAAGCTATCACTGTCAACACCTCCTTCAAGCCGGTCTACTCTCTCCTCAGTGGACATGGATCTGGTTTAAGGCATCAGTGGCTACACTCTGATACCAGTTGTTACAACTCAATAAGCACTGAAGTTAACTCAGGAGAATGATTCAATGTTTGATTACAGGTAAGAAAAGGAGTATGATTCAATAAGTACTCTGCTCTGCTGAGTGCTTCTTGTTGGCTGCTCTATATAGTCTTATTACATTTTTTTTTGCTGCTTGAACTGGGCCTTGAGTATGAGCCTGCTGGGCATCCTGCTGGACCGGGGCTTGCTGCTCCTGGGCTGCTTTCCTTAGCTTTTGGTTCATAACACCTGGCTTCGTGAGACAACTAAAAAAAAGAGGAATAATGTGGAGGGAAATGAGAGCAGCTCTGTTGTGGATTATTTGGGAAGGAAGGAAAATGACAGATTTTTAAAGACATGCAGCACAGAAGAAGACATAATAAGCAGTATAAAGATGAAAGTGGCACATTGGGTGAAAACAATGGAAGCTTATAAGGCCTTCTTGGTAGCAATGAATTAATGAGAAGTGGTGACAAAGTCCACAATTGTGAAGGACATGGTTGTGTTGGAGTGGTTTTGATGGGAGCTCTTTGGGCAATCTTGGACCCTCGGGAGTTGGGGGAGTATTTAGAAATGAAGAAGGTGTGGTGGTAGCAATGTATTCAAGATTGATTGGACACAGGGACTCATTAAAAGCGGAGGTTTTACCTTGCTTACATGTTAAAAGGGTTGGTATTAGGTAAACAGCTTGGGATGAAGCAGGTGGAGGTTGAAGGGGACTCAAAACTTTTTATCTCCCGGATAAGCTGCAACAATCCAGGTGCTTGGATGTTCAAACAAAGTTTTAGGGAGATGAGAAGGTTGGATATAGAGGTAGAAGCTACATTCAAATGGGTGAAAAGAACGGAAGTGGATTTTGGTTGATGTCCCAGCAAAGCAAGGGGTTTTTAGTGAACTGCTTTTTGTGCAGAATTGTAAGGGGTCGGATATACACGAACGGGTTGCTGGATTAATTTTACAGTATCATATTTAATGATTTAAGTTTTCAATTAACGAAAGTTTCTTTTGCTGATCTGAAAAAAAGATTATTGGGAAGATTGCCTTATGATGCTCTGCTGCGAAAGGAGTTTGCTTCCTCTAATACCTTTATGCTGCTGAGAGCGGAGTTTGTTTGATGTCTAATTAATTGTAATCCTTTCTGCTCTCTGTTACTGTTGTTTGGCTCCACTATGGCTCTGTGTTTGAATAGGGGTGGGTTCTGTTGTACTGTTCTGCTATTAGCAATAAAGTTCCCTTTCCTTCTTCCAAAATATTTATAAATAAATTTCATGGTTACAAAGCAAAAAGAAAGGACTAATCCAATCTTGGTTGTTATTCTTCCTTTGAAGTGCAAAACTAGCTATATTTCCAATTCATTCTATGTTAAATTAATTATGCAACACCAGCAGTGTCTCTTATAGTTCTTCAATTTTTCTTTGAACTTACTTTTTTAGGTAATTGCTTATAATGAACCAAGTATTATACTTATTTTTCTGCTTGACAGTGTCTGCTTCCTTCTACTGCAGGTTCTGGTAATGACAGCTCAAATTCTTTTGAACATTCTCAGGCATAGTATAATCAAGATGGAATCCATTCATCTCCTTATTTTGGATGAGTGCCATCATGCTGTGAAGAAACATCCATATTCACTAGTGATGTCTGAGTTCTATCATACCACTCCAAAGGAAAAGAGACCTGCTGTTTTTGGAATGACGGCTTCTCCTGTCAACTTGAAGGGTATATATCTGTTGTGTGTGTGTGTGTGTGTGTTTGGGGTGGGGGGATTATGTTTCTGCAGAATGCTAATGCCATCTTTTATCATATCCAAGAATAGCTACTTAACATGCTTAATATTAACTGATTCTCTCTTTTTATACTTGCTTAATGTTTTTTTTAATGTATTGTTTAGACATCTATCTTTCAGAGCATTTGGTTATTCGTTGTTCTTCTTACACAGGTGTTTCCAGCCAAGAGGATTGTGCAATAAAAATTCGGAATCTTGAAAGTAAATTAGATTCTATAGTTTGTACAATAAAAGACCGGAGAGAGCTGGAAAAACATGTTCCTATGCCATCAGAAGTTGTGGTGGAGTATGACAAAGCAGCTAGCTTGTGGTCCCTTCATGAACAGATAAAACAAATGGAATTAGCTGTTGAAGAAGCTGCACATTCAAGTTCCAGAAGAAGTAAATGGCAATTTATGGGGGCCAGAGATGCTGGAGCAAAAGAAGAGCTGCGCCTTGTTTATGGTGTTTCTGAAAGAACTGAAAGCGATGGAGCTGCTAATTTAATTCAGAAACTGAGGGCTATTAACTATGCTTTGGGAGAGTTAGGACAGTGGTGTGCTTACAAGGTATCCATGGGACAGTGATGGTGGTAATTGCATTTCTATTCATTCAAAAAGGTAAAAGTTTATTCAACTAAGTATCCAATCCATTTCCACAGGTTGCCCATTCATTTTTAATGGCCTTACAGAATGATGAAAGGGCAAACTATCAGCTTGATGTGAAGTTTCAAGAGTCCTACTTGAATAGAGTAGTTTCTCTCTTACAATGCCAGTTATCTGAGGGAGCTGTATCTGACAAGGATGCTAAAGGTGCAGATGGAGAGAATGGTAATGTTCAATATGGGGGTGATCCTGATGAAATTGAAGAAGGGGAGCTTCCTGATAGTCATGGTAGGTATTACTAATATGCTTTTCAAAAAATTTTAGTTAATTAAGTTGGTCTTTAGTTAAAAAAAAATCTATCATATCAAATCATGATAACTTGAGCCGCTGTCCTTTATGCCTGAATCTGAAATAGTTGATAGATGAAAGTTGTTTTGCATTGACTTGGTGTTTGTAGATTCTTATAAGCCTTGTCTGAACTATATTGAGTCAGCTATATGAATCCTGTCCCTCCATTCCATTCTGTTCAATGCCATGATTAAAGTTACATTCATTTCTTCATAAAGCCCACTTGCTATCTCTTCATCTTCATCCAAATCAATTCTGACAGATGATTTATTGTTGGTTTGCCTGAAATTTATGATAATGGTATGCTGGCGAATGGTGCTAAAGCTATTTATTACTTTCTTGGAAAAAACGGAAGTAGCATTGGAGTTGAATGATTTTTCTCTCAATTAGTCTTATTTCTAGTGTGTATGAAATTATTGCAGAGGTGCTTTCTAATAAACTGAAATAAGCATCATAAGATATTGTTGGTTCAACACAAATGGTTTTGGAGAAAAGTGAAGTTTTAAACGTTAAGGAAGTTTCTTTCAATCAATGCTTTGAAAGAAGAGGATATTAGATTTTTTTGGTTTTTTTGTCTTTAGGTAGCTCTTTACTGGACAGGGAGTTAGAAGAATGTATTTCTTTACTTTGAAAGTCAGAAGTGTAAAAAATTGACCTATCCACATGGGATGCTATGTCGATGGTAAGTTCACTGTGAACTCATCTTTTTATGATGCTTTCATTCAGAATCCCATGGAGAATTTTCCTTTTAAGGGTGTTTGGGGAAACCCAGGTCCTCCAAGGATGGAAGCATTCACATGTTTGCTCTGTTTAGGCAGTATTTTAATCATTGGTTTTTAAGGTCAAGAGGATTCCAAGTGAGATTTTCCTTTTTAAGGTGGTATGCATTTCCAAGAGGAAAGAGAGCCAAAATCTTATATCATACCTTTTGCAGTTTGTTTGGACTTATTGGAAATAGAACAATTGTCATATCATTCAAGGAATATCTTGTTCAACAAAGGAAATTGGTTTGGTGGCTGACATTTGTTCAATGATGGTAGGGTGATTATTGGCCTGTGGTTTTTTCTACAGAATCTTTTGGTTTGTGATTATGGTAGTCTTTTGATGTTGTACTGCCCAATGATTAAGATTTTGTTTGTTTTTGTTGTTGCCTCTTCATTCTTCAGCATATATTTCCTGTCATGTCCTTGGTAAGTATGTCATGAATTGGTATGTGAATTGTGTACCACTCTTTACTATCTAGTTGTCTCTGGTGGAGAGCATGTGGATGTGATAATTGGAGCAGCAGTAGCTGATGGAAAAGTGACACCAAAAGTGCAATCATTGATTAAAATTCTTCTAAAGTATCAGCACACAGAGGATTTCCGTGCAATCATTTTTGTGGAGAGAGTTGTGGCTGCATTAGTTCTTCCAAAGGTTGAAATTTTTAATGCCTATATTTGTGGTATCTTCATTATATAATTTTCTTTCCATAGCAAGGCCTTAGTAGTTGATGTATTATCTTCCTGTCAACTGTTCAGGTTTTTGCAGAGCTTCCATCTCTTAGTTTTATCAAATGTGCAAGCTTGATTGGACATAACAATAGTCAGGAAATGCGTACTTGTCAAATGCAGGATACAATTGCAAAATTCCGTGATGGTCGAGTATGTTTAGAAACTGAGCTATAATAAAACATAAATCTGCTGCTTTGATGTCTCAGGCAGTTTTTCATGAAAATTGAATAAATTCTATTGGCAGGTGACATTATTAGTGGCCACTAGTGTAGCGGAAGAAGGGTTGGATATTCGGCAATGCAATGTTGTCATTCGGTTTGATCTTGCAAAGACAGTTTTGGCATACATTCAGTCCAGGGGCCGTGCAAGGAAGCCCGGGTCTGATTACATTTTGATGGTTGAGAGGTACTTAGGCTGGACCTGATGCATGTTAATGAACAATTTGATGTATTTCATATTCTTGGACTAAATTTGGACATGAATCATCTCAAACAAATTTTGCATATAGGGGAAATTTATCACATGAAACTTTTCTGAGAAATGCACGGAATAGTGAGGAAACATTGCGAAAGGAAGCCATAGAGAGAACTGACCTTAGCCATCTTAAGGGTACTTCAAGGTTAACATCAATGGATGCAATACCAGGTTCAGTGTATCAGGTGGAGTCAACTGGTGCTATTGTGAGCCTGAACTCTGCTGTCGGACTAATACATTTTTACTGCTCACAGCTCCCTAGTGACAGGTGCCCATTCTTTATTATATGATTGACAGTATTATGTTGGTTGAATAGAAGATAAGGAAAATAAATCTCCTACTCTATTCCTATCCTATATCCAGGTATTCAATACTTCGTCCTGAGTTTATTATGGAGAGACACGAGAAGCCAGGTGGTTCCACCGAGTATTCATGCAAACTTCAACTTCCCTGTAATGCACCCTTTGAAAAGCTTGAGGGTCCTTTATGCAGTTCAATGCGACTAGCACAACAGGCAATGCTAATATTCTCTTATGAAATTTATTATTAAATCCAGTTTTCTCTATGATGTCACTAATACAAAATTCTTTTATTGTCTAGGCTGTATGTTTGGCTGCCTGCAAGAAGCTGCATGAGATGGGGGCTTTTACTGACATGCTCTTACCAGACAAGGGAAGTGGGGAGGAAGGTGAGAAGGTTGACCAGAATGATGAAGGAGATCCTCTCCCTGGAACTGCAAGGCATAGAGAATTCTATCCTGAAGGCGTTGCTGATATTCTTTGGGTTGGTTCTTCTGTCCTACTGGTATCTTGATGTGTGTATTTATCTTGCATCAGTCTTATGTTAAGCATGCCCACTGAAAGGGAGTGCAACCAGCACACCTGGAAGACACTTTCATTGACCATAATGCCCCTGGTATTTTATCCCTTTTGCAGATGCAATGATGACAAGGCCCACTCAAGTGGTGCCACATGGGTTCCATTAGCATTTTCCATCCACTTAAATGATTGAATGGGATTCTGTAAATGACCTTCACAGGGATGTGGTTATTACTTATATTTCACGTGAACTTTCTGACATATAGTTCACGTATACCCCCTCTGTTAGAATCAATGTTTTAAAACGCGGAGGCGTGACGCGAGGCGTTCCACTACCTAGAGGCGTGAGGCATAGTTCAAAACGCAAGAGGCGTAACCTTCCCGGACACAAGGAGAGGAGGGGGTTAGGAGCAAGGTTTAAAATTTCAATGTCGATGGAAATGTTGCTTACCAAAATATAGGACATATGTCGGAAATGTCGAGGGRAAATATTGTRAAAATTAGASACATTGTGGAARTATTATGAAATATGTGGAAATATGCAAAGATATTTTGTAAAATGATAAAAGAAGCATGAATACATATTTCTAGACTATTATCTTATTCCCAACCATTATATA